CAAGCATGCTATGCCCTCAGTCCTCCCCCCCAGAGCCTCCTGCGCATGGCAAAACAGCTGATTGCAGCGGGCGGGAGGCGTGGGGAGGGATGGGGAGGCGCTGATTGGCAGGGCTGCTGGTGGGTGGGAAGCACTGAGGGGGGGTGGGCAGCGGATGGAGGCTGCTGACATATTACTGTGGCTCTGTGGCAATGTTCATTGGTAAATTATGGCTCCTTCTCAGGCTCAGGTTGGCCACCCCTGATCTAGATAATTCCCTGACAGTGCAAGATTTTTCCCTTCAATATATTTTATAATAGCAGATTGGAAAATATGCTGTAGAGAGCAGTTCTGCACTGGCAGGTAGATCCATTAGGTGATATAACAGAGTGATGTCTTTTCCGTCTCTAGGTTTTATTACAATTCAATGATCAGTTCTGTGCTGCTGTAGAAAAGCATGATTCAGTGGTTAAAGCACAGGGCTAGAGTTGATAGGTTAGGGTTCTGTTCCCAACTGTCACATACCTCCTGTGTAACTTTAGACCAGTTGCTTAATCTTTGCCTCCATTTCCTCATCTATGAAATGGGTACATTTTCATGAAGTGGATGTGCTTACCTACCTCACAGGTGTGTAGGGAGCATAAATTAATCTTTGTAAAGTTTTATTGAACTGTTCACATGCAAGATGCTATTCAATTTAAATACTTTGTTCAATTTTAGGAATCCTACAAAGATCATTAACATAATCATATATAGTTATAAAGAGAAGGAGCTGACAGGATTGTATGTAAATGTTTTGAAAACTCATTTTTAATATATTTTTTCTCAGCCACTCTAATTACTAACTAGTTTTCATTTAAAGGATGGTAAATAACCATTCAGCATTCCTCCTTTAATTCTGTTTACCCTATGAAGAATTAAATACATATGCAAAGTAGATCCTAAGGAATGTTGCATGAATTTGTCTTTCTAAGGAATGTAATTTGTGGAAGGCTAAACAAGTAAATTACTCTTTTAAGTAGTTAAACTTTGTGCTCAAACCAGCTTTTAAAGATGTGAAACTGGTGGAATGTCCTATGGTTCCTCTGGATTGAAATTATCTATAGAGGGAGACTTTTTTGTAGTACTAACATACAAGAATGCAAGTTACCTGTTATTGCTCTGGAACAGCAGTTAATTAACTACCCAGTGTCACAGTTGTGCTAATGAAATTGATAGTCACAATGCTGATGCACAAAAAATAAGATGAACAAAGATGATAATTTATGCTCTGTTAAAAATTAGGAGGAAAATCATTGCTTTCCAAAAAAAAGTTGATCTGTAGGGAAAGGTTTTATTTTCAGCATTCTAAGAGGAAATTGTAGTCTTAAAGTAGCTGATGTGTTTTTTACAAGTAATGTATTATAAGTGTAATTGAGATTTTTGTTTTGAAATACCAATAAAAATACTAAGATGCTTGCATAAAAACCTATATTTTCCTTAGAATAGACGTTTTTAGTGTAGTTTTATTTTTATAGAGCCCAATATATGCCACACTTCTTACAGACCAAAAAAAAAGACAGTCCCTCCCCTGAAGAGGTTATAATCTAAATAAATGTGTAACATAATAAGGGAAGACAAAGGGCATGCCTATGCTGCCTGCTGTTTGGAGAATGAGAGCATGAATAGCAGTGCACGTCAAAGTGCTGCCCTGTAGTAACTCCTCTGTGTGGAGGCTGCAGGCATGAATTAAAAGGTTCCTAGTTCACATTGATGTAATCCTGTTTGAACAGCATGATGGACAGGGAGAGTGCAGCAATATCAGGAAAACTGATAGATGTCACTGGGATCTTGGAACTACAAAAGTCATCTTGCTGTAGCTCCTGCTACTGAGGATCTGGGATTGCTCCTAAGAGATTGTTGCCTTTCCATCTTCAGCCGACCTGGCTGACAATAGGTGCTTGGGAGTGGTCTCTGCTTGGAGCAAGGAGGAGAGGCAGGGTAAACACTGGAGTTGAGCCCCTTTTGCACCTGCCATGCTGCTTGCTTTAAAAAGACATGCACATTTCATTGATACAGATTCTTATTTAATTGTGTTTTAAATGACCCTGAAACAAAAGTCATATAAACTGTAAATAGAGAATAATAAGTAAATAATAAATACATAAATAATTTTATTACAGTATTCTACATACAATATTAAGAGGAAAACTTGGAGAAATTATCAGTGTTCATGGTGGATTCTCCATCATTGGCAATTTTAAAATCAAGATTGGATGTTTTTCTAAAAGATACATTCTAGGAATTTTTTCGAGGAAGAACTCTGGCCTGTGTTGTATAGGAGGTCAGACTAGATGATCACAATGATCTCTTCTAGCCTTGGAATCGATGAGACAAAACCTGTCCATGTGAGATCACATGAACCATCTCTTCTCCCATTCACAACTGCATATTATTCCTGTAGCAACTATAACAATTACCATGAATAAGCAATATCAAGGAAATATTTAAGTTGTTTTAACTGTCTTCTTATAAAGTTAAGCAGGTAGAAACAAAGAAATTGGCACCAAACACCTCTTTGAACATCAGTTTTGGAACCTGTACAACAAAGCAAAGAAAATTTCAGTGTAATTTTTTCAAATAATTCCTTCTCTGCCACTGCATGGAAGATTTTAAATAAACAACAAGTAAAGCTGTGAGGGTTGGTGCCTGATTATATACCAGGAAACAGGATATTTAAATTTTCAGGTAATTAAACATTCTTTGAAAAAGATGTTGAACTGTGAGATTTTATGTGAACCCCTGCCAGTCACATTTGCTTCCACCACATATATAAAGGAACCAAAGGGCACTGTTAAATTCCTCACTGTGTGTTAATTTTTTGTACTTGTTGATTATTAATATAGTGTTGAAGTTTTCATTAATAGTTATGTACATGAATTTGTATCGGGTTTGTAAGAAAGTGAAATATGTAAGAAAGTGAAATATGGCTTGCAAATGAGATTTTTCTGTAATGTTTGGGACAACTTATGTGAATGGGTGATTTGTGTTAAAGATTGCACCACGTGGTATTTTTATGTAGAAATTACAAAATTTAAAATCTCTTTATTTGTGGTCTGAGTTAAGGCTGCAGGTTGGTTGCTCAGGATGAGTTTGGATATGTGGGCTGCGGGCGGTAGAAACGGAGCGGCAGTGGAAGTTAAGATGGGGAACGGATGTGTATAGTGTACAGGAGTGTAGAGTGATTTAGCGATGTGTTTGTATATATATATTTTTTTACTGGGGTATGTGTGGAAATTTCCCAGATTTTTTTAATATTGATGTAACACCTTTTTATGTTGAAAGTTAGTCATGTGTAGTTGTCAGTTTCAGTATGTATGATCCCTATAGAATCCCAATGTTTTCCCTTTCCCTATAGTACCATTTTCTGTCCTGACTCCCACACAGATGTATTCTCCTCCATCCCTCTGATCCTAGATGTGACCCCCACACTCTACCATATTCAGTTTTATATGTTAATCTAAATATTACAATTTTAAAAAGCTGAACATGATAGAATATAGTGGAACATAGTTTAAAAGCTGTATTCCACTCTTTTGAATATGTCCATCTGAGGTGTGATTACAGCTCAGGTAGACATACTTGTGCTAGTTTGGTTAATAATAGCGTAGATGCAAGTCATCCTTCAGTTTTTCTTTGGCGCCTCCATAGACATTGTCCTAATGGCATGCCTTCAGATGAGTCCCTTTTGAAGTTTCTCCTAGGTAAATAGCATTGCTTGTAGTTCTTTGAGTAGATGCAGCTGTGTATTTTACATAGGGGGGTGTGTGCACAGTGCACCGCAGCTGGAGAATTTTGCCTAGCAGTATCCGTAGAGGTGAGTATCTCTGCAAGGTGAGATCATTAGTCAGATTGGTGGCTGTGGCTGTTAACCCAGCTCATGCTCAAGCACTAGTTAACCTTCCCATGATGGGGCCTCCAGAGTTGTTCTGTCCAGGTCTACTACTTCAGTAGTGGGATCCAGCCCTTGCACAGTTAACTGCCTTTTCATCATCCCTGAAGAATTCAGCGGTGCCCAGTTCTTCCTCCACTCCAGTGCTTGAGGACTTCAAAGCCTACCAAGATCTTTTGTGGCATGTGGCTGCTTCCCTGGGTATTCAGGCAGAGCTCCTATAGGAGTATACCCACAAGTTTCTGGATATTTTGCAGCCACCTGCCCGGGGGGGTGGCCTTTCCCCATCAACTATGTGCTCTTGGAGCATGCCAGCTTTGGTGTTGCAAACTGCAAAGCGATTGGAGAAACACTGCTTTGTACCAGTGTAGGAATGTGAGGGTTTTTACTTGCACCTGGTCCCTAATTCCCTGGATTGTAACCTAAGTTAATGACAGAGTAGTCCACTCCTAAGGACAAGGACTCTAAAAGGATGGACTTAATTGGTAGAAAAATCTATACCTCCTCTTCCCTGCAAATGTGGATTGCCAACCAGCAGGCATTGCTATCCAAGTATGACTGTAAATTGGTCAGCCATGTCGAAATTTGCAAACTAGCTGCCTGAAACCTCCAGGGAAGAATTTCGGGCATTTCTCATGGAAGGCTTGTTGGTGGTCAAGATGTTGCTGCAGTCTACGCTTGACATTGCAGATACTTCCGTCAGAGAAATGGCCTTGGCAATGACCATGAGAAGGGCATCCTGGATACGATTCAGGCATTGCTTCTGACATGGAGAGGACTTGCATTTTGGTGGTTGGCTGCTTTTTTGGGACAAAACAGATGAAACTGCTCTGCTTCAAGGATTCTAGGACTACCTTCTGTTCCTTTAGGGTGTATGCACGTGCAGCACAGAGATGCCATTATAGCGGACAGCAGCAGCAGCAGCAGCAACAGTATCACCCACAACACCCCTTTGGGCACTCTTCCTTTCCCACAAGATAGTGGGGCTTAACCCCAGAAAGAGGCATAAATCCTAGAGGTGGAGGCATTTCGGTCCTGGATTTGGCCAGCAGACACCCTCACCCAGCCCCCCCTTCCCCAAATGGTCCAGATCTGTGGTCCATTCAGGACTTCTGTTACCCCCATCCCCCGTGTTCAGGGACAGGCTAACTTGTTTTATCAGTGTTTGGGACTGGATTACTTCTGGCAGCTGGATCCTAATCACTGTCAGATCAGGCTATGCCATTCAATTCCTTTTCATGCCTCTTCCGCACCTACTCATCCCTCTTCAGGGGCACCTCTCTCAAGATACTGCTCGAGCAAGTCCAGTCTCTTCTGGCTTTGGGACCAGTGGAGGAGGTTCCTCCGGAGCACCAGGGTCATAGTTTTTATTCCGGGTATTTTCTGCTTCCTAAATCCAAAGTAGTCTCCACAGTCTCTAAGTGGGTAACTTCCTGCATCAAGACTGCATACAAAAGTTTCAGCCACACCCCCTGTACTGGTTTAGGCTCATTGTGTGAGAGTGTAAGCTATGTCAATAGCATTCTTAAGTGATATTTCAATATTGGATATTTGCAGGGCTTCCACATGGTCATCGATACATACTTTTTTGAACCATTATGCCATTATTGTGGGATCCAGAGTTGATGTAAACTTTGGGAAGGTGGTCCTGCACTCATTGTTCAAATAGGATCTGTAGGAAGTGGGACTCAGTCTGCTTATGAGTCATGAAAGTGGAATACATGGCCGCATCTAATTGAAAAAGAAGAAATGGTTACATACTGTGGTTCTTAAAGATGTGATGCAGATGTGTATTCCATGACCCACCATCTGCCCCCTCTGCATCGGAGTCTAGTCTCTGGGCATTTGGTGTGAAAGAACGGAGAGGCATCAGGGTGGCGCTGCCTCATACAGCCAGAGGAGAAGCTATGGCCATAAGGCACCAGCACCAACCCCTATGGTACTGTTAGGCAAAATTCTCCAGCTCCCGTGTGCTGAGCATGCACTCACCTGAATCACATCTTGAAGAACCACATTTACAGTACATAATCCTTTCTTCTTGTATGAACCCTTGTTCCTTTTTTGGTCAGGGAGTGGGGTAGTGGCAGACCACAGTCTGTTTCTGGGCCTTCAGTTCTTCAGTCTTCTGCTGTAATTACTTTGTATGCCATCCTTTTCAGGTGTATGTTTGTGTGGAGGGGGGAGCCTCTTCTGTCAGGACTGCTGATTCCCCCTGAAGAATACCAGTTTCTTCGTCTTTTGACACTCTCAGGGCCATTGGTTTGGCCCTCAGACTCTAGAGTAGCATGTAACAATCCACTGTGACAGTTGAGCCTACATCAACTGTCAGAGGAGCACCCTCAGTCCTCTGCTCCTGAGGGAAGCTTTAGCACCCTACCTCCAGGTAACTAACCTACTCCAGAATCTGGGTGACCTTTTCTGACTGATAGTTCTAGAAATGGATTTCTTCTTCCTCCTTTTTTCTTTTAGCATATCTTTGAATATATCCTAGTGGGTTTCAACAAGCTATAATCCCTCAGAATACAGGTCTCTGCTTTTAGGGGCTCTTGGAGGGTTTGCTTCCTTGGAATCCAATCCATACACTACCAAGTTTCTCAGAACCCTTGGCCTACAAACCCAATTTCAGAGCCATTACCCCTCAATGGGACCTTTATGGGTCCTTAAAAATTTCTGCTGTTCTCCCTTCAACTGCTGAGAGATATAACCCTGGAACTGTGTGAACTCCCATGATTACCCTGCTAGTTACTATTCTTCAGCTTGTTGAGTTGGGAGACTCCAGATTCCTTTTCAACTCTGCTTATCTGCAGTATTTCTAAACAAGTTAGTGTTTCATTTACTTCCAGAATTCTTTCCCAAGGAAAGTGTGCTACATAAATGAACCATTTGTTCTCTCCACCTTTTACCTGAACCTTTCTTCCAGCCTTAAGCGCAGTCTTCACTCTCTAGATGTAAAGACTGCTACCAAGTTTTATTTGCTGCTACTTGCAGTATGTTGAAAGTGTGTGTAAATCTGACTTAGCGGGTAGTTAATCCCCTCTACTCTCAGAAAGGATACTCCACCTGTCTGCTTCTTGGTTAGGGGGAGCAAACGCCATGGACCTCAAGAACTGCAAGACCACCACCTATTATTCACCTCATGACTTCATCAGCCACCTCTGAGTGGACCTTGAGCACTTTGTGGAGGCAGATTTTGGATGTAAAGTACTTCAAGCTGCATCTTGGGAAAACCCACCTCCTTGTTTAGAATATTTCTTGCATTGTCTGCTTACTGTTCTGTACTTCCAGCAGGATGGAAGGAAAGGGGAACAATCAACAAAGGAAATTTACTCACTGTTTTCCAGTGCATGCCTGCAACCCTCACTTCCTGTTTTCCTTGTCTTTTCATCTGGGGATTTCCAGCTTTTGACTTACCTGACAGGTTGAGGTTGGAGTCAGCCTAATATACACTTAGGCTATCACTATACTTTGCCTCTGTTTTTCCTGGTAGATCATGTTATAAATCCTTCCAGCAGGGTGGCAGAAGAGGAGGGATTCTGACAAACTCCTTTACTGGTGAATGAATTTCTCTTTATTCACCACTACTATAGCTGAAAACAGTTCCTAGTATGTATGTGCAATCTGCTAATATGTTAAGTTCACCTTAACATATTAGCAGAGTAGCAGTCAAAACAATGAAGCCATCCAGATGTAGATAGAATTCCATGCAAAGAAAGCGTCTGATTCTCATATAAGATAATTAAAACATATTTATAAATTGTTGCAAAAATAAAACTGCACATTAGGATGAACAAGTCTGAATTTAGCAAACATAAACATTCAAACTATTCAAGCTGCCTCACAAACATTATAGTACTTAAAAATAGACTACTGAAAATCAAATCTTTTTATTCAGGAACTTCCTCTGGTGGAACAACTTCTAGAAGCATCTGAAGGTGCATGGTGATGGGCCCTGAAAATAAGTTACTGTGGTTAGAGATGTTTAACACAAGTTTTAAAAGGCCTTTGGCAATGTTAACTATATATTTTAATTCAAGTTTACACCATTTCACTAACTTGAGTGTAATGTTGCATGCATAAGCATTTATTTCCCCCACTCTACAGATGGGGAAGACAAAACTTGCCCATGACCAAAGAGTAAATTGGTAGCAGATTTGGGACATAGGTGCTGAAACTGCAGCACACCCTGGCTTGAAGTGGTTTCCGTCATATACAGGCTTTACAGTTTGGTTCAATGGCTCTTAGCACCCCCACGTACAAATTGTTCCAGCACCCCTGATTTGGGATGTGAATTCAGAAATTCCAGGTTCCCAGTTTTGTGCTCATTATAGTAGATCACACTGCCTTTCATTATGTAATATAAAGTAGCTTTAGTTTTGTGGACAGATGGATTTATTTTTTTAAGGAATACCAATAATGTTGTGGGATTTATATCCTCTTAAAACCAGTCCTACTTTCCCTTTCAGTAATGTCTCATTTCATCTTCCATCTCCCCCAGAAAATAGATAGGAGTTGTACTTTTAAAGAAGACTACAAGTCACCTCATAAACAGACCTGCAGGGGCGCTGCTAAAACATAATCATTTTCCTCTCACTTTTTAGCATTGTTTCATACAGCAGTAGATCAAAGCACACTATGGAACTTTGAGTGCATTGTAGCAGGGTCCACATGTCCAATCAGTGCATGGCAAACTATTGCACTGTATATTTACCTCCCAGCTTGCCACACACCAATCCTCTGTACACAAGCCCTAAGGCTGTCATTTTAGTTTCCATTTCATGCTGTTAATTTTGTCTTTGTTAGACTGATGGTGAAGATATTAAATCTTGAAAGAGACCTGAGTGCAAGGTAAGTGCCAGAACAGAAAATAGCTAGGTGTGTTTAAAGTCACTTCAGTTACTGGCCAGGGCATTTCAAATTTATTTCGACTTCTAAATTACAAGATTTAAAAGGATATTGCCAATGGAAACTTAAGCTATTTTACATAACGTTGGCACTGATACGCTGATATGTATCACTTTGCAAAGCATTTTATGAACTAAATCTCATCAAATCTTATATTATCTCAATTTTTACACAGGAAGAAACTGAAGCAAAGATATAATGTGCCAAAGAGCTCTGATTAGAATTCAATAGCTCCTAGCAACTTTTGCTATGCTTATATCAAAAGATCATGCCTCTCTCTCAATGTAAGTTAGATGTGATGGTTGAATATAAAGAGAATTTTACTCAGGGGAGAAAGGAATGGTTGCTACATCTTAGAGGTATCCTGTTGTATGCATTATTTAATAGAAATCTTTGTTTTCAAATCACCTGTAAAATATATACTTACTTGATATTTTTTGAGCCCAGTTGAATTTAAAATGAATGAAAAGGACATAAAATAGAAGTCCTCCAAGCATAAATAAAACACAGTAGAGATATGCCCATTCGGGTTCACTGATGATTGGAGCCAAAACTAGTAAAATGGAAACTACTGTCACTAAGATGGGAATGACGATAGGTATCTGTAATAGACAAAGCATAGAAGTATTCAGCAAATTCTGTGGCTATTTTTCCTTGATATTGCGTACCTTTACTACATATCTTATTGAATGTGAGAAGTTACTTTTACTGCCTTGTTTCTGATTTTTTAAAAGAATATTCAGAAGAGAGTTCATCAAATTAGCGGAGTGGTTGAGAGGGTCAGCAGCAGCCGAGGGTCAGTTTGGCTATGTCACAGACCAAGACTACTCTGGCAATGCTGTTGGTCCCAATGCTAGAACTGTAATGAATTCACTGTGAATCATAAATCTGAACTTCAGTAGGATGAACTCTCCAGGAGAGTGTTGCCCCCAACTCATTCTGACCTATCACAGTCACTCTGGTTGCAGCCTCCCACCCCTTCTTCATTATCTGCAGCTAGATTTCTTTCCTTTTCCCCGGTTTCAGAGTAGCAGCCGTGTTAGTCTGTATCCGCAAAAAGAAAAGGAGTACTTGTGGCACCTTAGAGAGTAACAAATTTATTTGAGCATAAGCTTTTGTGATCTAGAGCTCACTTCATCAGATGCATGCCTCTGATGAAGTGAGCTGTAGCTCACGAAAGCTTATGCTCAAATAAATTGGTTAGTCTCTATGGTGCCACAAGTCCTCCTTTTTTCTTTTTTCCTTTCCCCCTCACCCTTTCACTGTGGCAGGCAGCAGAGGTGCGTCAGTATGGACAAGGTGCCAAGACCTGTACTTCTCTGACCCTCTGCCTGTCTCTGTTCATTCTCAAGGGAACAGCAAAAGGAACTATAACTAAGTAGTAGTTTCATGGGGCAAAATGATCTTCAAAGGAAGGGAATCGACTTCTCCGGTATGTTTTTCAGTTTTCCAAACTCCGTGGACAAGTCCATGCCTTCATGTTAATGGGAGAAGGAATACCAGTAGTGGAGAGCCACTTTTCTTACCATCATGAGGACCATGACTGGTTCATTTTTATTATGTTTAGAAATGTGTTCTAGTACTGAACTTACCTTGATTGGTCTTTTGAGCTCTTTTCTTGTAAATCTCATAACTATGAGTGCAAATACAGTCGAACCATAAAATATCCAGACAGCAAAACTAAAGTAGTTTATGAGTGTATTAATGTCTCCAGGGATGATATAAATAATAGCAATGGCACCCTAAAAATAAAATATGAGAATTAATGTGGACTTGATAAAAGATGGTCAGTGTAGCAAGGAAGAATGGAGCTCTCACTTTTATGGAGGGCACAGTTTTACATTCAGACTGATCCCATACGCAGTGAGTGTACATGTGTTTGCTCTACTTTGTGGTGAAGATTCAGCAACAATTCAGCATACTTGGCACCCTTTCCTGAGAATGGCCTGATCCTGCAAATGTGTGCTTAATTTTGATTATGAGTAATTCCATTGAAGTCATGCTTGAAGTTCAGTATGCGCATAAGTGCTTGCAAGATATGTGCCAACATGATATAAATCTTCTTTCCTGCTTGTATAAACCTACTTGCTAAGCATGATGAAGTGTTTGTATTGATGCTACATATATACATAATGAATCTCTCAAATTTATGACAGTATGTCTAACACCTACTTTACAGGCATGAAAGTTTACAGGAGAAAAAATTCCTAGATATCTTGTATTCACAGAAATCCTGGAGTGAGCCAGTTTGACCATCAAGACAACTTTACTCTACATAGCTGATTTTCATTGTCAGTACCCTACTTCTTCCCTTAAACTGACAGAGTTGCATTTTTACATTCCAATTCTATGAACTTTAAAACATGGAGAATCTCCATCTGGTATGGAGTTAGATTCAAGTTGAGCTGTTTTTATGTATTACATAGCTGAAATATTCTTTTATAAATCAAAAAGACTATTTCCCTGTATATGAAACCATATGTGCATGAAAATATGTGTAGGGATAACATGTTGAGATCACCATTGTGCCATTTGAAGAGCCAATGTAATTTCAGATCTGAGTATTTTTGATTTTTTTAGCTGAAAGTTTTATTTCTTTGCTTAGCATTCATACTTACATAAAATATGATAGCAGGTGCTGGGGTGAAACGTTTAATACTAATGTAAGACAGCACCTTTAGCATGTGCCCTTCACGACCTGCTACATAAATAAGTCTGACAAAACAAAAACATATGTTAATCTGATTAGTGTAGCATCTACAAAGATTCAAGTGGCTCTATTTTTCAGGTAACTCTGAATATTTAATATTCTTCACAGAGTAACATTTAACTATTAATATAGATGTCTTTTATATGGCTACATCTAACTAAGTAATATCTATATATGCCTCTCAAGTGCATCAAGCCTAATTTAATATTTTCTAGAGTGTAGGGAACCATCACACAGGTTGTGAAGGAGGAATTATAACTGCTTTCAAAACTCCATTGAGCACAGATGTGAAACTGGTTCATTAATTCAGAGCAAAACATTTTCTTCTCCCTTAAAAAAAATTCATCATATAGAACTTTCAGCACAAATGTAATTTCACATTGTATGATTTTAGGGATTTAGAAACCTTGTGAAGTATGAGGTTTGGCAAACCTCTCAAATATTTGTACACGCACAAAACTAGTTCAAGTTCTAACCTCTTTAATTTTTGATTTTCAGGTGACTTACTTTTAAAGAACTGGTTTTTAGCTGAAAGAAGCCTGTACTTGTTTACAGGCATTTTAGGAAAATGTTTAATTCCTTATTTTCAAACTTTCATAGCTACTGGTCCTTGCTGAGAATGGGCTACATAACTAAGTTTGTAGGTATTTTGTTCAATCATTTGTTTAAATTAAATCCTAGACTTAGAAGACATTATATAACTTTTACCTGTAAATCCTGTTATGTATTCTGCTATTTAGAGTTGAAATTTACCTGCCAGCAGTAAAACACGTCCCATTGGCTGCTCCAATTGTAGAAAAGACCACAAAGAGAGGAACTATCCAAGAAGCTGGATAAAGGACCCGATCCCCAAATGTCTGGGCCATAGAGGATTAAAATATAAACACGTTAATATGATATGTATCATTTTTCTACTTCGTAGTGTGTTCACTGGTGTGGGAACCAATCAGATATACAGTAAATGAATTTTTAAAATGTATTTTACCTTTAAAAAAATCAATATAATTTTACATAGCTTGTTTTTATCCCAAATTATTTTGCAAACTATGTACAATAGTTATTTCACCTACCACTCTAATGAAAGAACCTTGACTACTAGAACACAATAGTTGTGTTGCTATGACCCAATACTACTATATAGCAGTTTAAGACAAGAATCTTAAGGGTATCACATCCAACTGAAAGTAGGGGGAATTTAGATACAGAACATATCAAACTGGAATCTGATCAAGATACCAGCACTAGCATCCTTATTTTTGCCAAAAGTGGCATGGAAACTTAAATATAGGTGAGGCTCAGGGCCTCTCTTATGTGTCTTATCACCAATGCCCACTAGCACTCCTTCTTAAGTACCCTATGTTTTCTGGGTAACCTACCATCCTGCCCTGACATTGCTTAGCTTTTGAGATCAAGTGAGATATTTCTGCAGGCTTATATTGTCAGTGTTGATCCAGTTTGATCAATTTAGTAGTAGCTGATGTAATACCATTGATACAACTTAATAATATGTTGATAGGGACACTCAAGACTAGTAATCCTAAAATCAGACTACCTTGCTGTGTTTTAAGTAAAGTATGCATACACGTTACACCAATCTCTGCTCTGCAGCCATTTTTGTGAGTAGGCAGGATATTGAAATACACCAGAATCCAGCTCTCTAAAGGCAAGATTCCATTTGCTTGTACAATGTTCATTGGTATATGGAGTATTTCTGCATAGGTGCTCTTCTTCACTGTGCAGAATGCAGCATGTCATGAATTGTTTGTTCTTTTTCCCCAGAACTAACATAGAGATGGGTACAACCAGGGATTCAGATGTTTACCAGTGAAAATAAAATTGTACCCCTCACTAACGCATTGTGGAGTAAAAGCATCAGTAATCTGCAAATACACTGAAGATTTCCTGTAGAAGATGTCTCATGCATACTAAATTGTCACTTTCTACAAACTAATTTCAAAAAGATACTTTTATCTCTGTGACATAATTAAAATATTGATAGAGTTTACAAATTTACAATGGTACTGAAAAATTCTTTCCTGAAAACTAAGAAAGTTAGGATTTTTTTATGATTTGGACTCAGCCCTGCAACAAAAATAGTGTCTCACTTGATACTTCTAATCACAAAATGAAAAGTGGCTTACCACAGCGACCGCCTGGGACTGCTGAAGTTCTGTTGACGTCATTATTGTGAAATATGAAATATTAATCAGAACATAGCAAACTGAAACCAATGGGATTCCAATGATTATAGAAAGTGGTAGATTTCTACAGAATGTAAAAACATAGTATCAGCATTTGTAAACCACTAGGCAGCTTTATTATAATGGACTGTAGGTGCTTTCCTATTTTAGTTCCAATTTAGGATTCTAAAAAAAGTCACAGGTATCTTAACTAGTAAATATTGTATATGAATCATGTTAAGACTGAAGGATCACTGTTCAGGACAATCCCATTTTTAGGAATTCAGTACCTGTGTTACTTATGCTATCATGGATGATTAAAATTGAAGGAATTTTTAAAATTTAAATTCCTTTTTCACCATTTATGCTATTTGTTCTCATTTTTCACTAAGTTGAGTAAAGTGCAATTCTAGTTGGGTATTCCTAGTGCATGTACTTTCTAGTTCTCATGTAATAACATAATAGCTATTCACTCATGGGATTGATGCAAAGGTGAGTCACTACTTCATACAAATTGGATCTGATTGCACCTGACCCACATGTATCTGGCAGAGTAGATCAATGTTCTGTGTGCTCTGACAAGAACAATATGTTATAATTACTTGATTTTCACAACTGCAAGGGAATGGGTAAATCCCGAGCTCCCCTGTTTATATTTCCATTTAAAAGCAAACATTTTTGTTCCTCTTACAATTTGATTAAATCTGTTTTTACAAATTCTACATTTACTGGAATTCCTTTTTGCAGCCAGTACCTCAAGTAATCCATACTGATGGCTCCTCATGTTTCTGCAGGTGATTGGCAGGCAGCTGATACGTCAGAAGAAAAGGAGAGTCCCCTTCCACACGGGCAGAGTAGTGTTACTGTGCATAGAGCCTAGTTTCTGTTTTGCCTCATGCATGAGGAGCGTGATGTGCAGCTCCTAGCAGGGGCTTTCTTTCTTAGGAAGATGCATGCATGCACCAGTGTCATCAATGACATCTTCATCTTATGGACCCACTGGAAGGTCCTTGAAGAATTCCACCTGGATTTCAACAATTTCCAACCCACCATCAACCTCAGCCTGAACCAGTACACACCAGAGATCCACTTCCTGGACACTACAGTGCAAATAAGTGATGGTCACATAAACACCACCCTATATTGGAAACCTACTGACCGCTATACAGTAACTCCTCACTTAAAGTCATCCTGGTTAACGTTGATTCACTATGTTGCTGATCAATTAGAGAACATGCTCATTTAAAGTTGTTCAATAGCTCTCTTATAATGTTTGGCAGCCACCTGCTTTGTCCACTGCTTGCAGGAAGAGCAGCCCGATGCAGCGAGCTGGGGGAAGCTTGGAACCAGGGTGGACCAGCAGTCCCCTATCAGCTCCCCACTCCCCTAAATTCCTTGTGCAGCAGCTGCCCAGCAGGCTATCAATTGCTGGTAGTTCAGCTGTTCTTCCCCCCACTGCTGTGTGCTGCTCCAGCCCTCTGCCTTGGAGCTGTTCTAGGGAGCCTCCTGCTTGCTGTGCGGGGGCGGGGAAAGAGGGGTGCTAATGTCAGGGTGACCCCATCCCGTTGCTCTTGGCCCCCTGCCCTCATACCTTATCTCCACAGGGGAAGGGGCACTACAGGGCTCAGGACAGAGGGAGCTTGCTGGTAGCAGCTGCTGCCTCAACTTGCTGATCTACTTAAAAAGGCAATGTACTTAGAGTGGGGTCAGCATACTTAAAGGGGCAATCTGCGTCTCTCTCACACACACACACACAGTGTGTGTGTCTCTCTTCTGCCATGCTGTCTCCCCTTCCTCCATTCATGCTGCCTTGTAGAGTGTGAGGCTACATTAACAGTGTTTTAACTCTTGAGGGCTCAGGCGAGTGCTAGTTCATCATTTAGCAGTAAGGCATTCCCTGGGAAATATGCTACCCTCTTCCACCCTCAGATTGCACCACCTCAACCAAGCTTCACAATCATCGTTGTTGTGTACAGTATTAAATTGTTTAAAACATATACTCTGTGTGTGTATAAATTGTAAATATATGTAGTGATGGGGCAAGGCCAGATGGCTATAGAAAAGTAGTGAGAGATGCATATATTAGTCCCGGGCTCAACAAATCCCTGGTACCAGGATAAGTAAATGGCAGCTGCTCCAGGTCAATTAAGAAACCTGGGGCCAATTAAGATCTTTCCAGAAGGCAGGGAAGATAGCTAGGTTGATTGGGACACCTGAAGCCAATTAGGGGCTGGCTGAAACTAGTTAAAAGCCTCCCAGTTAGTCAGATGGGCGTGCATGTCAGGAGCTGTAGGAGGAAGCCGCACTATTGGAGGAATTGAGCAGTACAAACTATTTCAGGCGCAAGGAAGGAGGCCCTGAGGTAACGGTGAAGTAGATATTGGGGAAGTAGGCCAGGGAATTGTACGCATCCTCTTTCCAAAAAGTCAGCTACCATAGCTGCTACTATTAGGGTCCCTGGGCTTTAGCCCAGAGTAGAGGGCAGGCCTGGGCTCTTCCCCTGATTAATCACTGAGACTGGGAGATAACAGAGACTGTGCGAGGGAGGGTTACTTCTCCTCACTTACCTCGCTGACTTATGATGAAAATGGCTCAGTAGGCTGTGACCCTTGCCTCTAGAGAGAGAAGGGCTACGTGGAGAGTCACAGTGAGCCTCTGAGGCTAGCAAAATCCACCAAGAAGCGCAGGACCCATGGAGACCAGGACAAGAGCTTTGTTGCTCTGTGTGTGTGTGTGTGTGTGTGTGTAAATTTAAAAAAAAATATAAAATACAGTGTTTTGTCTGGCGAAAAAAATTTCCTTGGAACATACTCTTACCCTCCCCACCCCACCCCATTAATTCTTATGGGGAAATTGGATTCAGTTAACATTGTTTTGCTTAAAGTAGCATTTTTCAGGAACATAACTACAATGTTACATGAGGAGTTACTGTACTTACCTACATGCCTCCATCCAGGACACATCACATGATCCATTGTCTACAGCCAAGCCCTAAGATGCAACCAAATTTGCTCCAATCCTTGGACAGAGACAAATACCTATAAGATCTTTATCAAGCATTCTTAAAACTACAATACCCACCTGGGGAAGTGAGGAAACAGATTGATAGAGCGAGATGGGTACCCAGAGGTCATCTACTACAGGACAGGCCCAATAAGGAAAATAACAGAACACCACTGGCCATCACATACAGCCCCCAGCTAAAACCTCTCCAGCACATCATCAGCGATATACAACCTATCCTGGAAAATGATCCCTCACTCTCACAGACCTTGGGAGGCAGGCTAGTCCTTGCTTACAGACAACCTCCCAACCTGAAGCAAATACTCACCAGCAACTACATACCACACCACAGAAACAGTAACCCAGGAACCAATCCCTGTAACAAACCTTGTTGCCGACTCTGTCCCTGTATCTACTCTAGTGATACCATCAGAGAACCGAACATCAGCCACACCATCAGGAACTCATTCACCTGCACATCTACTAATGTGATATATGCCATCAGGTGCCAGCAGTGCCCCTCTGCCATGTACATTGGCCAAAACGGACAGTCTCTACGTAAAAGAATAAACGGACAGAAATCGGACATCAGAAATGGTAACATACAAAAGCCAGTAGGAGAACACTTCAATCTTCCTGGACATTCGATAACAGATTTGAAAGTAGCCATACTTGAACAAAAAAACTTCAGAAACAGGCTTCAAAGAGAAACTGCAGAACTAAAATTCAGTTGTAAATTTAACACCATTAATTTGGGCTAGTATAGGAACTAGGAGTGGCTGGCTCACTACAAAAGCAAATTTCCCTCTCCTGGAATTGACACCTCCTCATCAATTATTCGGAATGGACTACATCCACCGTGATTGAATTGGCCCTGTCAACACTGGTTCTCCACTTGTGAGGTAACTCCTTTCTCTTCATGTGTCAGTATAATAATGCCTGCTTCTGTAATTTTCACTCCAGTCACTTCACTTCACTCTGAATAAGTGTGTTTTTACCCACGAAAACTTATGCCCAAATAAATCTGTTAGTCTTTAAGGTGCCACCGGACTCCTTGTTGTTTTTGTGGATACAGACTAACACGGCTACCCTCTGATACTATTCTAAATTCAATAATCCCGGTTAATCCAGTATAGTTTTAGAATTTTGGCGCAGAGGTTTTTTCCATCCTAGTTCAGCTGATTGGTACTGACATTTAGACCCCACTCATATGGATTACTGGGGCTACTTGCTGCAAAAAAGGGATATTGTCCCTTTTCTGTAAAATTGGTCTCTGGAGAGTAGCTCCAGTAGTCCATATGCCCATCTAGTCACTGTTGTTCCACATAGTTGGTGGTGTTGATAACCAATTCTGTTAGTGAATTAATTTTTGGGAAGTCACTCTCCTGGTCCTTCTGTGTGTACTAGCAGCAGTGACCTCTTGTGGTGAGAGCCTCTTCTTTTTTTGCACTGGCTGGCTGCCTGTCAATCACCTGTGAAGAAGTCAGGGTTACTAAACTTACACTTTGAGAAACCCATTTTCCAGGACGATAAATCTTTTTTTTTAAATGGTCATTAATGTAACTATTGTGCACTCTTTAGATTTTCTAGGAGAAATGAGAAAGATAAGAAGCTTGATGCATGTGTCTCTAGACCTGCGATTACTTCTGAATGAACTTTTGGTAGTTTCTCTTGACTTCAGCGCACAACTTCTCACTCCTAATGGGAATTGTGTATATGCATTGAAGGGAATGATAAGTCTGTATTCAGGCAATTTTCTATACTATAGAGGGGCTTTCCCCACTATTTATTTATTTCTATAATAATAAGATTGAAACCTCCCTGAAATCTGTGTGGATGCTAATCAGAAATTAAATTCTCTATTATATCCAAAGTAGCAGTCAGCAAGGGGATGGAAAAGAATTAATTAGCATGCATTCTCTGTACTCTTTGCATTGTAGAGTCATGGAAATGAATAATTAATTAGAGATGATTCACAAGTATACAGTATTGAATGTAAAAAAACAGAATAAATGCTAATGAAATTATTCTTTTGTGAACAAGCACCAAAACTTTTGAGTGCCCAGTTCTTAACCAGAGAGAGAGAGTAAAATATGCAGCTGCTGTTAAGACTTCTAATGATCTGATTGTGGCATTAGAAATTCTGCCTTTTTTGCTTTCTAGGTTGTCTTTTGGTTGTCTCACCTGTAAGGATTTTTAAGTTCTTCTGTAATGTAATTGAGCTGATTCCTGCAAAAAAAAGCCATTAGCATAATGTTACTTGTAATCAGATCCTGAAATGGCAAATTACTTGAAAATCAGGTCTTTATTTCTGACATCACTGTTGCCGCTATTCAACCTCTAACAATTAAAAAAAAAAAAAAAAGTAAACCTGGTAAGATCCTTAACTTAACCAAAGCATATGACATGGAATTAGATCTGGGTTCTATACCCAGCTCTGCCTCCGTTTCATTATATGACACTGGGCATATAAGTTTCTTAACCTCTCTATGCCTCATCTGTAATATGAGATGAATAGTGTCAATGGCATTGCAAGGTTTAGGGGTTTGGATTTTTTTGTAAGACCCTGAGTAGAAGGGGCTGTAGCATAGTGTGCTGTTAAAGTGTATTGCTCAGGTAATGTGTAATTGCCAAAGTGTAAGAATCTAGCTAGAGTACTGCCAGTACATCACACAAATAAACTGCTTGGATTAATGCCAGGTTTTCAACAAAGCTCACATGCCACAAGGCTGCTTGTGACCTCCACAAGTTCTGGAAAACATGAATCTTTTCTAATAAAAACATTTGTACACCAGCTACAAACCTTAGTGCTAGGGTGACCATATTTCCCAAAGGGAAAATGGGACACCCCCAGCTGTTCGCCCGAGTGTGGGGCTAGCATCTCCACTCCACTCCCCCCCCCCCCGCATGTTCCTTTGACAAAAGTGGGCATTTGTCCCGTTTGCTCTTGCTAACTGATTGAGTCAGCAAGAGCAAATGGGACAAATGCCCACTTTTGCACCCCCCGCACCTCCCAAAAAAAAGTTGGAACGGCCGGGACAGGGCTTAAAAAAGGAATGTATGGCCACCCTACTTTGTGCAAATACTATAATTTAGCAATGAAATAATGCAAGTTATATAATCTCTTATCCACAAAGCTTTCATGAAAACTTATAAAGTTTTTACAACCAAATAAATGACAAATTTCAAATATTCATTTTCATTAGACTGTGTTATTTTTAAACTAGACTGTTTTATGCTCATAATTGTAGAGGATTGAAACAGGTTTGTTTTTTTTAAATGCTTCTGTGATTGATAGAAATGTGAAAAGAATTGACAGTTATCTACAGATATTAGAGACCAATTTTCAAACCTGAGTGGCTAAAATTAAACATTCAACACAATATTTAGGCATCTAAATAAGCTTTAGGCTGTTAGCTAAATAATGGATTTAAGTACCTGACTTTAGGCATTTGAGTTTGAAAACTGAACCTTGAAAGATTAAGGTTCATATTCATCAAGGTGTTTGAGCATGTGCTTAAAGTTAGACGTGAGTAGTCCCTTACTCTGGTGCTTAAAATTAAGTATGTGCTTAATTACCTTGCTGAATAGGGAGCTAAATAAAGACTTTTCAAGGCTGAGTGAGAACAGTATTGATGTGTCACAGCTGAGTCAAAAAAAACAAAGCTTGCATTTTTGTAAGGTGCCTGACGTGGTGGTAGCCCAAACTGATGCTCCAGTCCTGCAAGGTGAATCATGCGCACAGACCCCTGCATGCCTATGGTTTTCCTTGCAGGATCAAGGCCTGAAATGTGTAAACCCCTTCCTGGAAATCAAAGGAGATGATAATATATCCACATTGTTTAATATTAAATTTAATATTGTTTGTTTAAATATATTCAGAAAGTGTAGGCTTCTTGGATGGTTAAAATAATTAAGTATTGGGAAATACTATTCTGTAGTTTTATGTTGGACAGTGAGGAAATAATTTTATAAAATAAACCTATAAGCATTCAAATTTAATATATTTTAAACATAAAGCAGTCACTTTTAGCTAGAGCTTTGAAGTTTAGTGGGTAAACAGATGTGGGAATATGGAAATACTGTTTTGGACACTGGAGGGGTCCCTTTTTTTTTGTTTAATACAAGACAAATGGAACATGAAATAAATAGTAATAAAAGATGAACCACACGGGTTGTAAAAATCCAGTGTGTTTTTCCCTAGTTCATGTCAAGAACTCATGCATACACTGTCTATAAATGTATCCATAGCCACATATATATTTGGCACTAATAAATTTCCCATATTGGCAATCATTACAGAGAGAGTACAGATTTTCATGTCTCTAGAGACGGTCCTGCCAGAGCAGGATTGAAGCAGTGTATAGAAGTTTGCACGATGTGCTACTCAGGATATATCTGTTCATTAAATTAAAAGAAGATTCAGTCTCAAGATCAGTCTGACATATTTCTTGAATACTAAAATTCACACAACTTCAGAAAAATGTTTTGTATGTGATGCTAGAGCGCGGAGGTTAAAAACCAAACTAACTTCCAAGTGAGATTAGGGCAATGGCTCAAATTTCTGAATGGAAATAATTTAAATGTATGGTCCTACATCTGCTTCACCCCCATAGTATCTGAGCACCTTAAGTCATGTATCATTGACCCTCTTGTGGTCTAGTCGGGTATCTTCCCGCTAAAGCATGGTGCTTTGTTTGATTTTATTTTAAGGTGGTAGAACTCTTTTTCCAATGCTCTCTACAATTATTCTCTATAAAAAGAAGTCAAACGTCAACTTTCCCAAATAAGACATTTAGGGCAGCTTTACAAGAAGAGATAAAATCAGTTAGACTCTTAAATAGTAACTGATAACAGTAATAAAAAAATCTTACCATCCATCATAGGCCCAGAGTCCATTATAAAATGCCAAACTGATAGAACCAGCAGAAATTTTAGCATCATTGAAAGAATTTTTAAAATTTTCTGTTTTTCCTGCAAATGAAACAACTGTGCTGAGGCAAAATGAAACAGTTCCTTTCATTCAGTGGTGACATTTCAGTATCAAATTTTATTTTGTATAGCACTTTGACAGTTAAAGTGAACACTTAAATAGCAATTTTTTCCTAATTGGTCTGTAACCATTAATTTTTCCCCCAGAACACTTTCCAGTTTATTCTGTTTAATCACTAAGAGTCTGATCCTGAGTGGTTGAGTGCCCTCAACTCTCATTAAAATCAGTAGGAGTTGAGGGCAGTCAACAGGATCTGGTGTCAAAACCATATTAAATTAAAATAATCAGATCATTGCTTGTTTGCTTTGTTTTTCAGTGAATAATCCAATAGCAAGTCATGGCAGAAACAAAAGTACTCTCTAAGTTACAGTACTATATTTGTAAATCTAAAACCAACAAAAATTAAATTACCTTGTGCAAGGAGAACAAATCCACATACAATAATGATTATAACAATGATCATTTTAGCAGCAGTGAAAAAATTCTGAACGTAGCTCCCCAACTTCACACTCAGTGAATTCACTGTGGTAATAATCACTAGGGGAAATAAAAATGATATTTCTCAGTTTAAATGCCCTAGATCATAGAACTATAATAACTGAGTTTAAAGAAACATTCACAATATATTTTTTTATCTTAGGTTCAGACACCCAAATCTGTATATCTTGTTTCTTTCTTATATTGGTTTGTAAATTCCATGTAATTATTGCAATTTCCTGCATTTGATGGATTGTTCTAAAGAATGAGAACAATTTTCTGAAAATTTCTGAGGAATTTCTTGGCAGTCTCTCTTGAAAAATATTTTTAAAAGTTGGGGTAATTTTTGATCTAGAAAAGAAAATATAAGCTTGGTCCATTTTTTTTCTTTTCATTCTTTCCCACAGAGACACATGCTTCTGATCTATACATCCTATTACTGAGTATGAGCTAACTGCATAAGGAAGAAACCTGATTGTTTAGACCTTCTTACCCTAGAAGTGAAGCTTCCTTTAAGTTAAACCCACCCTTTCTATCAGTGTTATCAGAGACATTAGATATATTAGGTATTAGTCATCAAGTCTAGCCTTCTTCCAATGCAGAATTGTTCCAATTTATACAGTTTTCTTTCTGATTTTCTAGTGATTTATACATACTAGATTTTAATATTTAAAAGATGAGGCTCCTGCTACTTTCCTGGAAAAATAATTCATGAATGCTACACAGTTTCATAACTCAGCCCTCTTTAAAAAAAAAAAAGGGATCTTACCAATGACAGCTGCTGCAAGGCACTTAATGACTACTATGGGTGGCTCACAGCCTGGGTAAAAAGGTGCTGCAGCATATTCTGCAAAGCTGAGAGAAATGATAGCAAATGAACTGGGTTTGATGACCAATAAACTAGTCCAGGAAAACAAATATGCTGGAATAGGACCAAATGCTTCCATAAGGTAAGGATATTCTCCCCCTGATTTTGTGATCATTGTGCCTAGCTCAGCATAACATAGCGCACCTGAACAAAAAGAAGAAATCCAGTTAATAGTCAAGTGCTTTTAGTTCATACACTTCTTTAAGCTGTTTGGTTTTAATTAGCTCATTAAATTTTATAATATAAAATTAAGGAAATGGCTATAAACACAGCCTATATTTCATTATATTTGTGTAACAAGTAAATAGTAACCGAATTTAAAAAAAAATAAGAATTTGCCAAAGGCAGTTCCATAATTTAGAAAATTATTGAAAACTAACAAGTTACTGATTCGATTTTATAATTATGAGTGCCTAATTTGGGACTCTTTTTGCACACTCAATTTGTAAACAATTCTTGCTAACTTAACTGTGTTTAGTTGCTTAGAACTGAATGCAATATTCTGGACCTCCTCACTCCATGATGTCTGTACAATTAGTTCAAAATTGTATTGTAATTTTTGCTCATTTATCTCATTAGAAACTCATGGCTTATTTGCTTTACATTATAGCAAACTCATTTTAAATTATTATGTACTCAGAATTTGAATCTGTAACATGAAACTTAGTCCTAACCTATTCTTTTGGATTAATTCCTTGTTTTTTAAACCCTTTATTATACTGGATTTTCAGGTAGTTTAAGATATCTTTGGCAAATATTTCTATTTTAGTTTTCTGTTTAGAAACTCAGAATTCTATTAGGAAACAACAGCCTAAAGGAAAACTGCACCCAGTACTGCTCAGTAGTTTGAAAACAGGAAAAAAAGCAGCACAAGTCACAATGCACAAGGAAGGGTTGCTTTCAAATACAGTTGGCATTTCTGAACTTATTGCTCAGGAATGGCAACTTGCTGAAAGTTGCATCACTTTTTCTCAGAGCCCAACAATAAGAAACTATAAATTTAAGGCCAGTTTTCATGTTTAGCATTTTATATAAATATTACCTATTTAAGGCCAGATTTCAAAAACTAGCCTCTAATTTTGCACCTGCAAACAGGCTTTGTGCAATGAAATTGTGGAGTAGGTATACACTATAGACCTGGTTCTGCTCCCATTGAAATTACTGGGTTATTTTGCCATTGACTTCAATGGGAGCAGAATATGTCTTGTTTGTGCTCCCATGTGGTGGGATATGCAAAATAGGAGGCCAGATCTAAAGGTCAAGTAAAAATTTGACTTGTACAATTTTCTTCTAATACTTAATGTTCTATAAACTGCTTAATTTGTGGTAAGTTTTTGCCCAACCACTGGGCACAGTGGCTGGCTAGCATTTTGGTTTTATGTGAGCAGAACCATCTAATTTTCACAATGGAATGCAAGAGGAAAACTGGAAATATAAAGACTTTTCCTTTCTTTTGCTTACCTAATGTAGAAAGAATTCCGCAGGCTGCCCAGATGACTAAACAAGGCCCCACAGCTCCAACACTGACAAGTACTGACTTCGGAGAAATAAAGATGCCTGAGCCAATAACTGTACCAACAATAATGCAGATCCCACTGATCAGGCCCACCTTGAAATGAATGAGATATTCCAGTAAGGTAACTTAATATGAACTTCTTGTGCTGTTTTACCTTATGTGGTTAAATGAGAGAGAACAGTCACCATTAGTAATTTTTCTGGCACCACACATGCAGCTTCTATTTATTGATCTATTGAGAGACATGCACACAACTTAACTGCATATCTGCTATTTTTAGGATATGTTCACATGCCATAATACAGCATAATGGCCACCTTTCTCAAAAACACAATTAATATGACCTTGTGTATCTAAACAGATACAATAAACTGAAATGGCAAAAGACAACAGTAGACCTCAGTGATCGTTGGCAAATATTTATGGGCCATAGATCGCTGCTATGCAAAATAGTTTTGAATTTATTCATCAGGCTTCTGTTTTTAGAATAGTTCTGAAATTACTTCTGTAATTTGAGATGCTTTTTGTTTTAAACAAGATGTATGTTTCCTAGTACAAAGCACACATCATATTGATAAAAAAAAAAGAAAAGGAGTACTTGTGGCACCTTAGAGACTAACCAATTTATTTGAGCATGAGCTTTCGAAGTGAGCTGTAGCTCACGAAAGCTCATGCTCAAATAAATTGGTTAGTCTCTAAGGTGCCACAAGTACTCCTTTTCTTTTTGTGAATACAGACTAACACGGCTGTTCCTCTGAAACCTATCATATTGATAGTTGTCAGCATTCACTATAGAAAAACAGGGCCATGCTGAGGGAAAATAAAAAATTAGAGAGTTGTGCTCAGTTGATGAGAGTAATTAGTTACTGGTTTGTGGAATCAGAAATCTACACGGTTAAAATTCTAAGAAGCCTGATCAGATCCTGATCAGACAAGACATAGATATTAGTTTTGGTCAGTGGAATTTACTAACTTTGCTCTCCTCTGATATCAGAGTGGGCACTACAGTAACTCCTCACTTGAAGTCGTCCTGGTTAACCTTGTTTCGTTGCTGATCAATTAGGGAACATACTCGTTTAAAGTTGTGTAATGCTCCCTTATAACATGTGCATCCGATGAAGTGAGCTGTAGCTCACGAAAGCTTATGCTCAAATAAATTGGTTAGTCTCTAAGGTGCCACAAGTACTCCTTTTTTTTTTTTTTGCGAATACAGACTAACACGGCTGTTACTCTGAAACCCTTATAACATTGTTTGGCAGCTGCCTGCTTTGTCCACTGCTTGCAGGAAGAGCAGCCCGTTGCAGCTAGTTGGTGGGGGGCTTGGAACCAGGGTGGACTGGCAGCCCCCCCCTCAGCTCCCTGCTCCCCTAAATTCCCTGTGCAGCAGCTGCCCAGCAGGCTACCAATTGCTGGGAGTTCAGCTGTCCCTCCCCCCACTGCCTGTCCCCTGCCTTGGAGCTGCTCCCAGGAGCCTCCTGCTTGCTGTGCAGGGGAGGGAGGAAGAGAAGTGCTAAAGCACACTTCTCAGGGTGTCCCTCTCTCCTCTACTCCTGACCCCTGCTTACCCCTTCTCCATATAGAGCAAGATGGGGACAGGACAGGGCTCAGGAGGAGAGAGCTTTCTGGTGGCAGCTGCTGTCTCAACTTCCTGATCTTTTTAAAGGCAATGTACTTAGAGTGGGGTCAGCGTACTTAAAGGCGCAATGCGCATCTCTCTCTCTCCCACACACAGGGTGTGTGTCTCTGTCTGCCATGCTGTCTCCCCTCCCTCCATTAGTGCTGCCTTGTAGTGTGTGAGGCTACATTAACAACGTGTTAACCCTTGAGGGCTCAGCCAAATGCTAGTTCATCATTTAGCAGCAAGGCATTCCCCAGGAAATATCCCACTCTCTTCTACTCTCTAACTTCACCACCTCAACCAAGCTTCACAATCATCATTGCTGTGTACCGTATTAAATTGTTTGTTTAAAACTTATACTGTGTGTATATATATGTGTGTATGTGTATATATATAAAATATAGTTTTTTGTCTGGTGAAAAAACTTTCCCTGGAACCTAACCCCCCAACCCCATTTACATTAATTCTTATGGGGAAATTGGATTTGCTTAACATCGTTTCGCTTAGTCACATTTTTCAGGAACATAACTACAATGTTAAGTGAGGTGTTACTGTATAAGGGCAGGTAAACTTAAAAGTAAATATTTGGAAAATTAGCTATTATATGATCTTTTGCTTACCCCATGACTACTGGTTGCTTTATTGACAAGGAGACAAGCAGACTTTTGATGTGAGGCAGAGCCTGGCTAATATAGATTTCCCCCTCCCATAGAAATTTGATAATTTATGTCACCATTCTAACAATTTCACAGCTGATAACTATGGTAGAAACATGGGACTGTGAGCAGATCTTAAGCTGAGTGTTGCTACATTTCTCTACAAATCTGATCTGTCCATTGAACACAATGCGCAGAAACCCTTCCCTGATACTGTGTTCCATAGTTGCTACTTTCAGACCAAGAATATGTTCTGTCGTCATTGGGTAGGATTCCATTTAGTTTCTGTATCTTGATCATGCTATTGAAGTGGAAGATTTTTACTTGTTTGGATTTTGGCCAGAGTCAACAGTTTCGGTGGATAGTTAAGGAACATGGTATCCTAACATACTGTTCCAGCATGCCTGTTTCGTGATGTTCAGGGCCAAAAAACCCTCTTTGCAATCCTGTTACTTTCATTCACTTTGTCTTCTATTAAGTGAGAACAAAATGCTATTAAAGTTTTCATTATATTGTTACTGTTGTCTGCAATAAAAAGCCATGTGTGAGATCCTGTGATGTGTTCCAAACATTAATCAGACATACTGGCCAGTACTGAATTTTTCTCACATTGCAGTATTTCAGGATTATCTCTTGTTCTAACAGCTGACAATCTAAAATTAATTTAAGGATGATTACAGGGCACTTTGCTTATTTGTTTGCAGCATTAAAACTGAACCTATTAACTGCATAATTTACAGCTTACAGTGTGCTACGCATTCACCTTTACCCTTACTAACTGTAGTTATGTCTTCAGTGGGGAGCAGAACAAACATATATATATATATTCCTATCTCTAAAAGAGCACCCCCATGCTTGTTTCTCATGTGAAACTTATTGCACACCAACTATTAAATGGTATAAGCACTGTTTGGAGTATTCTAATATACATCATCAATTTGTAACCATTGACACTAGAAAAATGTGTGAGTTGAATACTGTGGTTTCTGTATTAGTGTGCAGCTTTCTGGAGGTGGCAAAGGTGGAAATGTTTACCTTTATAACCAGATTGACTTGAACACTTCAGTCTTCTCCAGCATTGCATCCATATTTTGAGAATCCTTAGCTTTTGCTGGTGTTTGAAGCAAATAGCCATACCTTTGTTAAATGCTAATCTTGCTTGAAGGATGTAAGTTGTACGGTACCAGGCTTGTTACAAGTTAAAGGGTCTGATCTTGCAAAGTACTGAGTGTGAACTCCTATGAAGTGGACAATGGAAGTTGAACTTACTCAGCAGGGGGGCTCAGGGCAGGGAGTTGGGTTGCGGGGTACAGGAGGGGTTCAGGATGCGGGCTCCGGCCCAGTGCTGCTTACCTGGAGCAGCTCCGGGGTGGCAGCGGCCCGCACCGGGGCCAGGGCAGGCTCCCTGCCTGCCCCGGCCCCACACTGCTCTGGGAAGTGGCCGGTAATGCAACCCTACAGCCCCTGGGGGAGAGGGGGCAGAGGGCTCCCGCGCGCTGCCCTTGCCTGTGGGTACCTCCCCCGAAGCTCCAGTTGGCCGCAGTTCCCCATTCCTGGCCAATTGGCGCTTCAAGGGAGGTACCCACAGGCAAGGGCAGTGCATCAAGCCCTCAGCCCCCTTCCCCCAGGGGCCATAGGGATGTGGTGCCTGCCACTTCCTGGAGTGGCATGGCCCGGGGTGCCACAGGGGTGGCAATACCGCTAGCTGGATCCAAAGCTCTGAGGGGCCAGATCCCGCCCACAGACTGTACTTTGCCCACCCCTGAGTTAGATGAACACACACTTTTTTTTCTTGTAGTCAATGGGAACTTTGATTTATGGCTAGAGCTGGGAGACAACAATTTTTGAGACTTCAGAAGTTTTCCTGTTCCACATCAGACCTAAACCTTATACATTTTTTAGAGAGAAGGAGGGAGAAAGAGTCACCTAAATAGACAGTAGCCTGGGATGTGGGAGACCCAGTTTCAAGTCCCTTCTCTACTTGATTTGCAGTAGGGACATGAACCTAAGTCTCCTACACCCCAGATAAGTGCCCTAAACACCAGGCTGTGTGTCTTTTTCAATCTCTCGTGTTGGAGTTGTTCCACTTCACATCAATAAATATTCATTGTGTCAGAGAGAGGACTACTATATAGTCAAATGGCTAGAGCTTTCACCTGGGATATCAGAGAGACAGGTTCAAGTCCCCACTCCAAATCAGGAAGAGAGCGTATTTAAATCTGGGTCTCCCACATCCCAGATGAGTGCCCTAACCACCAGGCTATTGGCTATTCTGGAGGTGTCTCACCTATATGGGCTTGAGAAAGTTTCCCAGCAAAAGTTTTATCAAAAATTGATACATTCCCATGAAAATTTTTGGTTTTGATGAGTCAGCATTTTCTGCCAGAAAATGTTGTGTTTGAAAATTCTTGACCAGTCCTACTTATTACTAACATAGAAATCAACCACAACCTCTCTGAAATACTTATGTTTCTCTGTTACATTTAGCATTGCTATACAACCCTCTTATTAAGGTAAATATTTCAGAAAACATTCTTGCCTCTTTCTGTAGATTCATAGTTTTAGATTCTTTACTTTGGATGGATTGTTCATTTCTTTCCCTGTTAGTCTCTCCTTTTCTTTTTCTCATGTTTTCTTCACCCATTTGACTTATTGATATGTTGAGATATCTATAGATATAAAACAGAACTAACAAATATTTAGCTTTATTTTACTATTATATACAATCAGATTAATAGACAAATATGAATTGGAACATTTTACAAAAACTACCCCCCCCCCCAGATGTTTTGGTTTAACTTGGATTTAAACTTGGAGAGCGGTCAGTTTGGATGAGCTATTACCAGCAGGAGAGTGAGTTTGTGTGTGTATGGGGGTGGGGGGGTGAGAGAACCTGGATTTGTGCAGGAAATGGCCCAACTTGATTATCATGCACATTGTGTAGAGAGTTGTCACTTTGGATGGGCTATCACCAGCAGGAGAGTGAATTTGTGTGGGGGGGTGGAGGGTGAGAAAACCTGGATTTGTGCTGGAAATGGCCCAACTTGATGATCACTTTAGATAAGCTATTACCAGCAGGACAGGGGTGGGAGGAGGCATTGTTTCATATACTCTGTGTGTCTATAAAGTCTGCTGCAGTTTCCACGGTATGCATCCGATGAAGTGAGCTGTAGCTCACGAAAGCTCATGCTCAAATAAATTGGTTAGTCTCTAAGGTGCCACAAGTACTCCTTTTCTTTTTGCGAATACAGACTAACACGGCTGTTACTCTGAAACTTTACAAAAACTGAATCTATTTTTCCCCCTAGCAGTAAAAACTCATTTTTCAAAAGGGTAGATGCACAAACTTATGCATATTGGTACATCTCCTTTGCACCTTCAATTACCTCCATTAACAGATGCATAAATATTCATTAGTTCAAGATTCATGGTAATTGGACACTCAGACTAGGCACACAAATGTGGACTATATTGTTTCCCAGAAAGTTTAAGTAACATATTGTCAACTGATGAAGCAAGTTGCAATTTAGGAGAGATCAGATTCTGGTACTCCCAAACCTAGTCAAGTAAAAATTCCAATCTGATCCTAAATCTAAATTTCTGGAAATCAAAATGTTGAAGATAATTTTGCAGTTGCACTTTAATACATTTAGTGTCTGGTGTTTTAACTACCCATGTTTCTTGGTCAATGTTTTGTATATGGTGAATAATACTACATAGCGGTTCTATAGTACTTTAAATATAGGGCGATAGACTTCCCCATTTTATAGGGAAAGTCCTGATATTTGGGGCTTTGTCTTATATAGGCACCTATTTCTTCCCTCCCACCCCCTCCGGGGTCCTGATTTTTTTTTATACTTGCTGTCTGGTCACCCTATTTAAGTATTCAAAACACTGTGCCAGTAGTAACTATTTCAGCTCAATGATCCAAAAAAGTTTTTCACGAGAAGGTGTTACAAATCAAAAGAATGCCTCTGCGTGTGATTACCTATAGCAGCAATGTCTGTTAAGAAACACTTCGTCTGCTAATCTGATGGACTAGTTTAAAAAAGCTCCAAATAACTGTAACTGACCCAATGAAATAGTCAGGCTTCAATGAAAATGTTGCCTGCATAAGGATTGCAGGACTTGGGCCCTCAGATCTTATTACAGTTCTGTGCCTTACTCCCTACCTGAGAGAGAACTTTATTGAGAGTATTAGTCTAAAACATTTTTTAGAAATGTGTACTTACCTTATTTCTTTGTATATGTTTGTAATAAATCTGGCCACAGAGCTCTTTGTGTAGCGTGTTTCTGCACCGCTCCAGTTAGATTTAAGAGTTAATCAGCAGGGAATGTCATGTCTGAAGGCTGAATATCAGAAGAGGAAGAATCTTAAGTACAGAGGTTATAGAAGGTAATTATTAAACAAAAACAAATTATTAGACAAGAAGCTTTGAGATATGAATCCAAGGTAAACCAACAGTCCAATTAGTTTGTTTGTAAAAACCTCATTGGTTTGATCCATTTCTATGTACGAATTGTTTCTATTAATGTTTTGCCAGCATCTAAGTATTTTATTACATAGTGAGAGTGACCTGAGATTCTGGTAAATTAAGTTGTTGTTTTTTTAACGTGCAAAGGTCTTTCTAATTCATAAACTTTGGGGAAAGAGAATTTTGGAAGTGATTATTTTACTATTGTGGCTACTTATTGTTTACTGTACTGAGGGAGTTCTGCAGATGTTAACTGTATAGAAGTTGTTCATTTATTTTGTCTTTGAGTTCGGAGAGTGTTAGCAGAAGCCTTCAATTTTTTTCATTAAATTTAAGACAGCTGAGTGGGCAGGTTGAATTCTTTTCATTCTTAATTCCAATTAGATTCTTCATTTTTCTAAATGTTTAAACTGCTTTTAAGAAAAATATGATTTTAATTTTTCTACAAATGTGTATCCAGGCAGAAAGCATGATTTTTCTAAAGATTGAAGGACTCTTTCACTCATTCCTGCCATAATTCTTTAAACTCACAAAACAAAGATTACTTTAAAAACTCCGAGTCTAGGTGCCACTTTACACCACACATTTGAAAGTATGCAAATGCATAGTTAGACCAAACAAACTTTTCCCCATAGTATTACCTTAATTGTTCTTGGGGAGTAAGTGGAAACATTAAAGATCATTTGAGTAAGATGAAAAAATGCTTTGTCACCCTCTTCTGCAACTTGTTGATGTATTAAAGAAGGCCTGAAAGGTGGAAGGATATAGGACGGGAAATTGTCTTTAAACCTTAGAAATGTCAGGAATGTCATGTCTGTAGTCTTCTGATTATGCTGGAAGCCTCATTGAAGTTCTCTGAGATGTGGGTTGAGAGAGATCTTCACTCTTATTTGAAGGAATGAGGGAGTCTGATCTCTGACAGTTTCTCAAGTATTTGATGTGTGTATTAACCAAACAAAGATTTAAACAGTCTTTATAAAGATCACTTCCCCTCTGAATCAGGTTTCATTTGGCTTGATATCTGTAGCATTAAGGTTCTCAATCACTTGTAATGAATTGCAGGAAAAGCGGAGGAGACAACACCTAGATTTCCAATATGAAAGAATAATAAAAGATTAATCTTTTTAATAATAAAAGATTAAACACTGTCAGACCACCTTCATTCATTATAACAAAACCTAAAGAACATAAACCATTTCTTTTTCTTTTATAGGTCACCTTTAACATGAAATTCTCAGGCTTTCTAAGATTAAAATATAAAACAGCTGCAACTGAAAGACAGCAGCTACAAGTCATTTAAGAACTTTCTGGTGGATATACATGTTAGTCTATCTCAACTTTAACACTTTAATGAAGTTTTTGCTTAGGAATTTCCTTAGGTTTTAAAAAAGGTCTGAACATCGGTCAGTGTCATGGGTTCCTTCAGACTTTGCAATCTAGGCAACATTTGAGGATATTGAGATCTGGGGTTTTTAAATTGGGAGTGATATCCTGTGTGCTGCTTGCATATAGGTATGTGTATTGTACCTCCCACAATTTTCAGATTTTGTTTCTGATGTACCCCAAGAGCCATACCCTGCTTTTTCTCTTTTTTTCATCTCAGTTGCCAGAACCAACATCCTGGATATTTTTGCAGCTTTGGACCAAGACATCAACATCTTGAGAGCCACCCTAGGTATATATTCAGAGTGTGTGGTCTAGTGACTAGAGGACTCAGGTCTGTACCATTACCTTGCTGTTTGGCCTGAATTGTTTTGTTCCCCCATAAATAAAATGGGTAATTATAATATTAACCTACCCACCTGGGATATTTTTGTGGTTAATCTTTTTAAGATCTCCTCCTTAAATGAGAGCTGCTTATAGAATTGCAATTTATTATGATCACTTCTACCAACAGAGCACCCCAACACTAGGAGATTTACTGAGATGCCACCTGTGGGCAGGAGACACAGTAATGCTTAATGTGATATTCCATGGCTATTGAAGAGTTACTTCCTTGTCAAACCCATGAGTAGCTGCAGAGATCAAGGAACTCGTAGAGATTCCAAGAGCCTGGAGAAGCTGGGGCTCCTTTGAGCTGAATATGATCCTATCTGAACAGTGTAGGTTGCTAATGTTGAAACTTTAAGGTACACTTAATTGCTTTCTCAGTGTAATCATAAAAGAGTAATTTTTAAACTTCAATAGTAGGGACAATGCTATTTATATAATTATTACTGCAGTCGGTAATATCAAGGTTAATGTTTGGTAGGGGTTGGTATTTACTGCTTGATAACAGTGCATATTCTTCTTTGGATCAATGACAATATTCTAATGTATTGGAACAACTGTTCAAACTTGGAGGAGACTTAGTTGGGCCTTGTATTATAAGTGTTTCAGAATGGAAACTTTCTATCTTTGCCTTATCCTCAAGCAGGTTACTTTCTTTTAACAGGGAGAACAATGTGTTAGCTGTACTTGCTCCTCCCTTTGAGTCCTGACTTTAATGTTCTTAAACAGTCATTGCTTTAAAAAGTGACTAAGTACTGAGCTCACCTTTAAAAACTTTCGAGGTTTGTCTTTGCAACTATAAAGAATGACCACATATTCTGTTCTTCTCTGTATTTAGTATTGGAAATACTTGGGGAACATTGCATTAATGTAATGTTGTTTGCTTATAAAAGTGGTGGAAAAATTCCAAGGGCAGCCATTGTACTAGAGATGGGCCTGAATCAAAACTCTGATCCAATTACTCATAAACGTTGGGTTAAATATATAAATCTGAAAATTTTAGATTTTCTTAATTTAATAAGAAAATCCCTTAATTAGGACTCCCTTAATTTAAAATAGACCAGATCAAAACTCTAGATCCAGCTCCCTCCACTACTCCCTCTTAAATTCAACCCTAGATCCACACTCTGTGGCCTAGATCTGCCTCTAGCAAATAGCTTTTTGAAAGCCACAAAGAAGCCATATTAGATACACTATATACTCATCTAATTCCTTTTGAAATTTTTATACTTTCTAGTAATGTTTTGTTTTCCTGGTAGTATTGAATATCCTCTTCATTAAAGTTTACTTCTAGTACTTGTTGTTAAATGAAACAAACACTCCAGCAATGTAAGGATTAAAGTGTTCTCCATAGCATCTCCACCAAGCCTTCACTTGACCCTCAATTATTGAAGTTCAGTGGCATTTCTCTGTGCTGGGTACAGACAATTGCAATGCCTACTGAGACAATCAATGCTGGAAGTCTGAATTATTTAATGTGTGGTTTTGGAGTCTTGACTGAAAAATAAATCTCTTCCTGTTTCTTCATCTGAATGTTGTACTTCAGTATATCGGCATGATTTTGTGGCTACCCAAATCTTTTATTATTCTATTTATTTTATTTCCATATAGAGTTAAGTCTTACTGTCTAGTATATTAGGCATATTTTATGGTCTGTATCTTACTGAATTCCCATTGGTGTTTTCCCAGAAAAGAAAACAAAAGAATCTTGTGTATCAGTAATGTGCTTAGTCTGAGAGTTTTGAAACTTGCATTCACAAGGTGTCTTTGAGCAGCCCCTAAATGTGTTTAGAATATTTCCTCTCCTTTTAGGACACAGTTGCTAAGCAGGTAGATCTTACATCTTAATGCATGTTTTAGTTGTTCATCCCTCCCTGCAGACCAACCTTAGTTTAAAAATCCTCTTTCCTTACTTCACTCTATATGAGAAAAATCTCTAATATTTGTTCTCTCTCAATATAATTATTGGCTTGATTCACATTAGGGCCAGAACCCGACTCCTGTGACTGAGAAAGTGTAAGTCAATGGGCCAGTCACAGGTCTTATCTGTAGAGATCCTATTTCACATCCTATGTTAGTGAAAGTTAATTTGGTGATCCATAATTTTGCAGAATCACTAGAAAATTCAATAGGTTTTGAGCCTCTGGACTGGAATAGTAGCAGGACAGGCTGGAGGTCAGGACTGAGATTTATTTGCAAAACTGTGTGAAGAAGATTACAAAAACCAGTGCTACTAGTCCCTCTCTTTCATGAATCTAGTAGGGAGGTGGCGTATGTCCATCCAGTGCCATTCTGACTCCTGTGAAGAGGATGCAGTCTGCATCTGATATGTACCTTCAAGGTGTTTTGCTATGTGGCTGAGGCAATGCTTTCAGGGATCTTCTCACTATACCAGCCTCGGAGTCACGTCCAGCACCGGAGCGACCGAGGGTACAAGCGCCGATAGTGCAGGGACGCTCTGCACCGTCTTGGCCCTTGTGCTCTGCCTCATGGTCGTCACAGTCTGAGGGCGGCTCACGCTCAGCCTACCCTGTTCCAAGCCATGGCAAGGATGACGTGGGTCACTGGCAGGAGGAAGGCCAAGACCCTAATCAGGAGCCTTCACAATGGTCCTTCTGGACCCCGTGGGCATACCACCAAGCCCAAGGGGTTCTGTCGGGGGCCTCCCACTCAGAACTCCGGGTGCCAGAGGCCACCATAAGTTGTCTTCCTCCGGGGTGTATAGAAGTGACTGCACTTACCCCAGCACAGGCCCCAAGCCCCAGTTAGTGGATCCTGGACAACAGGACCCTTCACAGCAGTTTCTGCCACAGGATCCCCTGGCCCCTGTGGCATCCTCCTCGTCCTCTCCAGACGAGGCAGTAGCAGGGACAGCAATCTCTGGTCCTCCCCCAATAGACCTTCGTGCCTACCAAGACCTTCTATGTAGAGTGGCACGTAATACGACCCTCCAAGCTGAGGAGGTAGTGGAGTTGGAGGACATCCTTTCAGCAGAGGCCCTGTCCCAAGTATCTTTGCCCATTATCTGCACCATCCAGACCAATGCCAAGACAATCTGGCAAACCCCCGCCTCCATCCCACTGACGGCCAGAGGAATGGAGA